TCGTGGCCTAGAGGTTAAGGAGTTCGCCTCTCATTCAAAAGACCCGGTTTCGAATCCGCATGGCGACGGAAAAAAATAATATTCTTCTCTAAAACATGTTTCCTTTCACCTCTCCTGCTGTATTGCAAGTTTCTGTCGTTTGCTTTCGTCCCCACTCTCCCTCACCTCCTTTGCCACCTCCTCTGGGCTCCTGGCTATATCTGCAGCATTTCTACTGCCACTCCTTGGCTCATTCTTACTGCTGTCTTTCAGCCACACTCCTGGCTGATCTTCTTGTCGGAAAGATCTACATCTAGCCTTCTCGGACACGGGCGAAAAATCTCAGGAGGTCCCGTGTGCAAACTGCCCCCCGGACAAAAATTCAAAATTTCCTATGAACTGAAAATGTTTAGTGTCTCCTGCGCGCTCATATGACCTTTATAATAAATGTCTAATGTGAGGTAGCGTGGTGGAATCGGGCTCTCGTCAAAATAATCAAAGTGAAGAAACTTGCATTTTTCCGCAGGTTTATTAATTTTTATCAATTTTTTGTTTTTTGGCTCAACACTTCATGCTTATTGAAGAACTAATTTCTGTGGTACTTTTTTTACAAACGTTGATTAAAGGCACAAAGATGTAAATTTTCAGTTACCACGAACTCTTAAGCTAAGAAAATAACTAATCTTTGGCGGCCATTTTCTCACTATGTTTACCTCTGAAAACAGGTGACCTCCCCTCCTTCTTTCGCAAATATCTCCACTTGCTTTCAAGATAAATGCATTTTTTTTCCATAAAAATAAAGACAATTGAACAAACTTTATGATGATTCCAATAACTCTACATGCCCAAAAATTGACGAGAGCCTGATTCCACCCCGCTGCCTCACTTATGCAGTTGCGAGCGTCGAAAACACTACCAAATATAAAAATAATAATATAAAAAATAACATAATATCCATCATTACCCAAGCGATCTCCCACTTGTAGTCCCAAGTTGTCAAGCACTGCTTTAGAAGTACAGAGAAGTACAGTGCATTAGTGATTGAACTATAAATACGAGAAACCGGTGTCTGTGGTGTACCCTGTTCGAGTTCGGCGCTTCTCCTCGATTTGTCTCCTGGTTTATAAATCTAAATTGAGTCGATGGGGACGTAAAAACCTACATTAATTTTTTTTCTGAAAGTCTTCAGTACAGGAAAATCCAAAGACTGCTTAATCTTAAATTCTAAAGTAAATGAACCTTTGTAATTTGTATATATATATATGTTGCTGAGACTGGCAGTTTTTTTCCACAGTTGTTTTTCCATAGCAGTTACTATGTAGACGTGGAAAGTCTTGGAAGTTAGTATTTTATACATCAACGTATGTCTGGTCACAGACTACAGACACATACAGTCGAACCTGTGTAAGACGGAATCACAAGGCTGCGGGAAAAAATTCCGTCGTAGACATTTTCCGTCTTAGACAGGGGAATTTAGGGGGGGGTCAAAGGCCCAGCCGGTGGGATCAAGGATCGCTTGTCCGATCGTCAAGCAGTGGTCGAAATTTCACACCTCTCAGCTGCTATCCTGTCTGATAATGACATGCGTCAGTCTTACTTATCCAATTACCACCAGTGCTTGCCTTTCATAGGACCACTGTCTGACCTATTAAAAACAGAAAGGTTTGCTCATTTGCTTCCATCCTTAGCCCCTCCCACCAATGCCACCTCTCACTGCTATCGTAGTAACAACGATTCGAGGAACTCTTTTCTCGGCTGGTCGTACGATCAGGGCGGCAGGCATTGGTCAATCTAATTTCACACCTCTGGCTTCTGGCTACCAAGGAAAGTTTCCGCAGTGGCTCGCTACTCGAGCACTCTCACGGGCAGTCGTGGGATTTCACACCTACACTACACTGACCATCTGCATCGCTCAGGGCTCACATTATGGGGTAACATCTACCCCCAAAATACACCCCTACTCCCCTTCCACGCCCAGCGGCATGGCCATGGCTTTAAGTTCAGAGCTGGCGGAACCAAACTTGCGAGTTTTGTTTCAAATCAGGGCTGAGCCGGCAAAGCATTTTCCGCCTTAGACAGGTGAAACCCGCGGAAGGGGGCGAATTTTTCTTTCTGTTTCCGCGTTGGACAGGTTTCCGTTTTATACAGGTAATTAAAGAGGAGGAATATATCAAGGGGGAGCGGGGAGATTCCGTGGACAGGTTTCCGTTTTACACAGGTTTCCGTTAAGGCGGGTTCGACTGTATTTTAAGTATTCTGTCGAATGCATTACCCATCAATGTCATTTTTTAAAAGTTATTAATTAATTAATTAAATTTTTAAAATGTTATGTATATATAATAATACTCTCTTTTAATAGGGTTAATTAGGAGCTGTAAATCGAGCTCGCCAATTCTTCCACCGCCAGTCTTGGGATGACCCAAGGAGATTAAAAGTAAGTTAGTTCTAAACTCCTTGGGATGACCATATAGTATAGACGATTCTTCAGCCCTTTACAGGCAAACTGTAGCAAGCAAGCAACAGCTGACTTGATATCGCATGCTTGTTGAATGTTATGTCTCATATCTTACTACATTATATACCCACAGCCCTCTGATTTATAATCTGATCGGTGTGGTTCAGCTAGATAGATAAAATACATGTACATTCATGTGTTAGAAAAAAATAACTAAAACTAAAAGTTTCAAGACCTGTCCAACATTGTCAGTTTATTTGAGAGGCGATACCCCCTAATCTAAAGTCTAAAGATAGGACCAAGCAAAATGAAGGGCGGATGACGAACAAGGACCTTACTGTATTTACCTCCTTGATAGCAAACCATAATTTTTAAAAACTTTAAGCCCATCCGGTGGGCAAGGGTCGCTTGTGCAGTCGGCAAACTGGTCAAAGCTCTCTCTCTGATAACGTCATGCGTCAGTCCTACCTGTCCTTTGCCACCAGTGCTTGCATTGTTATTTAATACTATACTTTAGTAGGTAGCGTAGACACGGCCTCGCGGGCAGTCGTGGCCTTCCGACCGCGTGGTATCGGTGAAATCGGGGTAATTCCAATTGTTTCTTTGCTCTTTCGCTATAAATTTGTTTACAATGGCGTTTTAGGAGACGGACTTTTCCCCAAGAATAGAACTGTCCTCGCGGTTATATGCCCCCCCCCCCCCCCCCCAAAAAAAAAAATAATTTAAAAAATTAAAAAATCTGAAATTATGCAAACAGAGCCCCAAAATGTGAAACTATGCGATTCTATAATTTTTACAATGAATGATAAAGGAAAATAGTCAGGAATTAAGCAAAAAAAAGATCACATTTTGCTGAATTATGCGGGGTGCATAAAACCGTGGGGACAGATCTAAACGAAACTAATGAAAAACTGAAAATTAAACTACAGTGAGTCCAGGCTCCTCAATAAAACTGTGTACCCTTTGAATGATTCTGAACCGTTATTAATATAGTCAAATTCGAAAGTTATGTGGTTCGGAAGTTTTAGGCGGCAAAAGTGACGGACTTTCACAAATATAATATGTATAGATAAGTTGGGCCGCGAATTGTTTACCGCACTTTAAAAAAAACCATAGACAGTTTTGACTGGGTAGGCAGGGGCGAAGGCTGACTTGTTTGACAGGGTAATCAAAGTGAAACGGGATCAGACATGGCCTGTAGATATCACACAAGAATCTTACCCGAGGCGGCGACTCTGAGTTGTGAATGAAAACAAATCGGAATTCATATTGTATGTTCAACCGCCAAAATAATCGGGAAAGTATCTTATTAAATATCAGTTCCAACTAAAATTTAGATGTGAATACATAAACACAAAGCAAAGAAGCAGAGATGTCAGTACTAGATCTATATGTTATAGATCTACCAGTGAGTCTAATTCTTTGGTAGAACATGACAATTATCATTTTTTAAATTTCACATTTAGCTGTTTTTGTTAGCCTTTCGCGGCCAGGAGCTGGTGTCATAATCGAGGTCACGATCTGATTATAGGACGGTAAAAAGTCGAGGGAAAAAACAAGCACTCCCAGCAGTAAAGAGATTATTAGGAGTTAGTTCCCCTCACACTTGTGAGGTAGACTCGACCAGTGTTAGTTAGCTTACATAAATCAGGGCTTGTGATTGATTATTATAACTGTGGCCCCAAAGGGGTGAATAGGATATATGTGGCAATGAAACAGCTTTGAGTGCTATGCACATGTTCCCTTCAACTATATTGGTAGACTCTTCCAGCCTCACTTTAAGCTTACTTAATCAAAGCTTGCGACTGGTTATGGAGGGGTGAGGAGGCTATTTCTGTGGCAGTGAAACCGTTTTGAATGTTAGGCTTACTGTTCATTGTTGATTACAAACGTTTTTTTACATTTAATTTAAGAGGTTTACGTTTATGGATGAATTTGACAGCGACAATGTTTTAAAATTAGGAAGGGAAGCAGTGATTATTTGATTATATAGACACTTCGCCCTTGTGGGCAGGTGCCATACTGCTAATTAGACCTGCATGTTTGCC